GCTTGGATAAAGCTTTAAGCACTTACTCATACATAACTTCCATTACATCAGTTCTGTGCTCCATTAGTAAGACTTTGTTTAAAGAATCATTCATCTGATTTTCCAAACAATAACCCAAAATGAAAAGTGTGTCATCATTTGCTCACCCTTAAGCTATTCCATACCAAGACATTTTTTCTATGGATGACAAAAGAAAATCCCAGCATGTCCAAAGTGCTTTTTTCAAAATGAACACTAGGGATGTTGAGCACCATAAAAGTGGTCCACACGACGCCAAATGATCAGTGTTGGGGGTAACACATTACAAGCAACACGAGTTACGTAATGAGATTACTTTTTTCAAGTAACTAGTAAAGTAACGTACTAGTTAAGTAATTAAGTATTACTTAATGTTTTTAAGTAATAAAAACAGTGAACTGCAAACTTAGATTATGACACAAACGTGCAATAATTAAATGTTAAATAACACAAGTATCCTTTATGTATTTGTTCCAATTTTATTAACCAATGTCTTTGCTGCTGACCTTCGATTATCCAATTCAACCGTAATAAGCAAAAATTACATTCAATAAGCATAACATTTGCACCTCATGTTTTGAACTTTCTTTTCGTGCATCCTATTCTTCATGCAATCCAGAACGGCAGCAGAGCTGAAAGGTTTGTTTGAGTTGCGCCCTCTACTGGACAGATGTGAATTTATATTTCCTTCTGCCTGAGGCTTATTCATTTCACTTTTGGTGTGAAAGGGCTTTTACATTTACCAAAAATAGAACATTTATATTAAAAACAAACAAGCAAGCCTAGCCCTGATGAGAAAATGCAAAAGTAACATAACAAATTACATAACATAAATAGTACTAAGTAACACAATTAGTTACTTTTTTTAGAGAATAATGCAATGCTGTAATGCATAACTTTTAAGTAACTTTCCCCAACACTGCAAATGATAGCTTTGTTTGAGGAACAGACTGAAGCGGTTTTATAAACCATACACATCAGAGAAACAAGTGCTCAGCCATCTTTGAATTTTGTCTTTGAACTTCCTTTTTTTCAGTAGCACTACTGCATCGCTGTTGAAGGATAATTAGCTCTTGAAGTGGATTTACTTATTGCAGAGTTAACGAAAGTTATCGTGTGCATTGTAATGTTCGAAGCGGATGTCATAACAAATGGCAGTAGACCGGGAAGATTTTAAAACCAGTGGTTTATTCGTAAATGCACAATGTGGAAATAGAAGACAGATGTAAGATGTAAGAAGTAAATGATGACAAAACTTAAACTAGCTTTTAGATTCTTGAATTTCTTGAAATTGAATTTCTCTGGAGGCCAATATTACCACTATTTTCCAAAAAAGATGCATTTTACACTAAAATAAGGTTAAAAAGGCTGTGTTGATTAGCTCCCCCTGCAGGTAAGGGTGTATGGTGGAATCCATTGGTCTCAAACTCAATTCCTGGAGGGCCACATCTCTGCACAGTTTCGCTCCAACCCTAATCAAACACACCTGATCCAGCTAATCAAGGTCTTCAGGATCACTAGAAACTTCCAAGCAGGTGTGATTTGGAGCTGGTTGGAGCTAAACTCTGCAGAGTTGTGGCCCTCCAGGAATTGAGTTTGAGACCAATGGTGTAATCTATACCTCACACTGATTCCAGCCCCTGGTTTTAACCAGGATTATGTTACATGCTGGAGGGATGAATTCCTTTAAGACATCCATTCACATACTCAGAAAAGCACCTGTTCTAAGACAGGAACAATGGGAATGGCTTAGATGTAGAGTCTGTGTATCCTTTCAGATAGAAAAAATGTAATCCTGAGGACTTAGTTTACACTCTGGCCAAACAAAAAGACTTACCAGGCTCCTCTTTACCACACGGATGCCATGTCAGCTCTGGCCCACAAGTCTACTGTTTCCAACAGGATTAATCCGCTGTTAACCTTATGTGCCACAAACAAGCCAACTTTGTCTGCTAAACGGGCCAGTGTAAGCCAAGCAACACTACAGTAATGATACCACTGAGAAAAATGAAATAGTGGTGATTTGTGTCAAGAGAGTTCTTTCTGCACTTGGTTATAAGGACGGTGAATGCTTTACAACAACACCAAATACTGATACCAGGAAACAAACAACCTTCTGGTGGGCTGATGGCCAACAAATTTGAGAGTTTGCCTCCTGGTGGTTGTAGATGTGTTATATTGTAGACAAAACTACAAAAATACGGCAAGCTCCAATCAGATTGCCAGAATGCTACTTAACAGTTGAGATGCACAGGTTTCTATCACTCTTTCAGGAAACAAAATTATGTTTTCACTGTAAAAAACAAAAAATGATACGATCAGTAAGTCATGGCAACCTATGTTTTTCTATTTACTCGTCAAATTAAGTTGAGCAATTTTAACTTTTCATATACGTTATATGAAATTTTAAGTCAGTTTAATATAAATTAAGTTGAAATGCCTTGTACATCCAAGTTAAGGCAGCAACTGAACTTAAGTTTTAAGTTGAAATAATAGGTGGAATTTTATTCAGTGTAAAGAATTCTGTGTAAGAATTAACTAATCACTGGACTTGATTCAAATCTTTTAAATATATTAGAAATAAGAGTAACAATGATAATTGATGAGAGTTTTTGAGGAAGTTGCAAGCAAACTACATAGTCATGAGCAGAATTGTATATTGTTTGTCTTCTGTCTGGGAAATAATCTGTACTTATTACGTTTGGATGGACAGTAATTCTGTGGACGTAATTGGATGGAAAGTAATGAAGGTGTTTTCAGTACAGAATATTCAGGGTTTTGGAAAATACTTTCAGATAAACCCGCTCCTAAACAAGACAAACTCCGTTTGGTTGCTTTATATGTCAGTCAGACAGTCTCATCCTGTCTAAATAGGCTGTTTTGACCAGCCTAAACTGCAAAGTGAACCAGATTTTCTGCGAAGTCAAAAGTCTGGCTATGCAAGACTACAGTTGGTAGGTTGTAACTATGAACTGTAATGACTGTTCATCATGTAAATTAACTACTGGCCTTATTGAGAGAGTCTTATAGTGGATAGTTTTCATAAAGACAATCAAAAAATGAATTAAAGATGAGATACTGCAAGACCTAAAACCTTCTGGGCATTTCTGTGGTTCTCACATTAGATACGACCAGATGGTAGAGTAATGAGCACATTCATCTGAAAGGTCAGTGATGTCATCAGAGAGTGGCCAAATTTCGAATAGCCCGTTTAATACGGCTGGGTAAAAAATACTATATATATCTCTTGTTTCAAGGTTGCAATTAAAACAAGCCAAATGAAGGGAAATACTCCATTCCTTTAAAAAAAAATAGAAATAAGCAAAGCCTGAGGTTTTTTAATTAGTCACACAAAATGTTGAAGTATACAGAAGTACAAGTTTGAAACATTTATCTCTGCTAATAAAAATGATCTATGCTCAAAACTTCATTATTTAGTTTTTTTTTTTTTTTTTTTATTTTTACACTGTAAAAAATGACCGTAAATTTTACGGTAAAAGACTGTAAAAATGCTACATGCTACGCCTGTTAAATGGTTAACGGTAAATTCCCCTACTATATACGGTGAAAAACTGTATTGGACATTACATGTAACGGCAAAATTCCAGCAACCACAGCTGCCGGTTTTTTACCGTAAATAAGTGTATTATTAAAAAATGAATCTGTCGAGTGTATATTTGTGTATGGAATAATATCATAAATAATATGAAGAGTCTCTCTGGATGTTAAATAGATTAAAGGGAAAGTCGTGAACACCTGCTGATATCTGCTGGAATTCAGCACGGAAGAAAAGCTGCCACATAAACCTTTTCCAGTAAGACTGCAAAAGTCATGACTGACTGCAAAAGAATGTATCTATTACAGTAAAATAAGCATGAAAAATAATCGTCTTGGCAACTCATTGTGAAACTGACAGATTATACTGAAATGTAAGATGAAGATGAGATGCTTAAAAAAAATGCTTAAGTAGAGATGCTTAAAAACTTACACTTGAAAAAACTACCACAGAACTTTAAACGCTAGTATTTTAACATTTTAACAATACCTTAGTGTAACAAATTGTGCATCAAGATGTCAATGCATAAACATTAGTAAATTATTATTATTACATTAATACATTTACTTTAGTGAAACATGAGCTGAATAGGCCTACTGTCATTTCCCTTCGGCTGATAATGCCAGATTAATCATCCAATTATTTCCTGAATGACAGTGAACTGTTCATGACACAGAAGAAATAGCATGGATTAGCAAGTCATTTCTCATAAACAATGATCCTTATGTAAATATGATTTCATAAATCCAATAATTCCTGCTCTACATGGATGAGGTTAAAACATTATAAAATAGCCAATAAACTCATACCCATGACCACACATCCAGTTTCTATGTCGCTTGGCAACCATGAACAGCCTGCAGTTCTGATAATAAACTATATTACTTGGAATATATATATATATATATATTTTTTTTTTTTTATTATGGTGCTGTACAAAAATATCATTAGAATCCTATCGGTTTCATAACCATAACCATTTGAATTGGGAAACAGAACTTTTTCAAATCTTAACTCAAGAATTAAGATGGAATGTTTCTGTGATACAGCCGCTGATTATTATTATTATTATATAATAGTGCTACATTTTAAGCATGCAAATACAGTGTCTTTGATAATAGTGACTAAAAACACCAATTTACTGCGGCATAATAAAATAATGATTTTATTTTTTTGACGTTTTTGTGAGCATTTGTGAAGAAGATAAATTGTAATCGTACCAGTGTTCGCTTATAACGCCTTGTTTTGTTTTGTGTCAGAGAGAATTCATTGGAATCCTTCAGGAATGTTCCAAATTATTGTAACACTTGGAATCGGAGTTCTATCCACATTTCTTACCGCATTCAATTTTGAACATAGAAAGCCCATAAAGTAGCGAGTTCAACCGAGGTTTCGTACTGTTTTATGTGAGTATGAGATCCTGTACCTGCACGATATGCCGTGGCTGAACGGAGAGTGTAGGGAAGTTTCCTCGGCCGTGGATCGGGACGCATTCTCCCAGGATGGAGTCCAGACGCTGCACCTGCTCCCACGACAAAACACAGCAGCGCCGGCTCTGCTGCGACACATCCGCGGAGGACATGGAGAGATCAGTCCGCTGAAGACTCGCGTCTGCTCGGTGGACGGCAGCTGGATGCCCTGACTAAATGACCTACGGTTATTTCGGTTTAGGAGTTGAACGTCAATTCGGTTTCAAAGCGTGGATTTTAAAGGTTATTTCATCAACGCAACAGAATCCAGATAATTATCGAGGCACTCACTCCAGGCTAGCGTTCATTCACTGAGTCTGGAATAAGCCTACGAATGCATTTAAACCTGACTCATTTACATACGCCGCTCAGTTGGTCCGCTTTATGAATAATTAGAACGTCCATAAGAACTGAAGTCCATGTGCCCGCCCACCTCGGCTACGTCACATTCCCCGCTGCGCTCATTGGCTGTGGGAGGAGCGTACGGTTGTGTGGGAGCACGTGTTCGGTTTCTTTGTAAACACAAACCAGGATTCTCAAAACTAGTTAGTTTATGCATAGCTTGTTCAATAGTACATCTATGATAATGTATTCACATTGTGTTCTCAATGTCAGGAGGCGCACAAACCCTTAAGCGTTTGACTTACAGTTGGTTTTGCCTAAATATATACACTCTCATGAAAAAAAAAGGTTTAAAAGATGTCACTGGGGTGGTACCTTTTCAAAAGGTACACATTTTTACCTCATTTACCTGTAAAGGATGCATATAAGTACCTTAAAGGTACATATTAGCACCCAAAGTGTAAATATTAGACCTTAATGGTACATATTTGTACCTTTTTCTGAAAGTGTAGGTTGTACTGAAATGTATTTCTCTCATTGCTTTTTAAGCTGGTTAAATGCCATTTGTCTCTGCTTACTGTGCCATTGTGACACAATCTATCAGTTGTTATAATGTTATTACAGCAGCTGTTCTAAAAGAGTTATGTGACCTGTTATCTTTTTTTCTTTTGACCAACATTTAATATACAGTATTTAGTTTTTCATAGCATGAGAACTCAGCTCAAAAGGAAATGAAACTGAAGAAAGACAATATCATTTGTACACATATACTGGAAATCTGATATCGTTTTATGTGGCTCTGGGTGGTTTCAAGCAATCTAAACTGAAAATCCTTCATAATAATTTGTATAAAGAAAACATTTATGACAAGGGAGTGCCATAGAACAACATTCTATAAACGTTATGCATGAAGGCATGATAGGCATAAGATGAACAGAGCAATAAAGTGAAGAATGTGAATGATAAGCAGAAAAAATATGACACCTTGAATGAACTAAACAGTAGATAATGAGACAGTTTTACTGCTGCGGTGAAAACTCTTTTTGATCTGCACTGTAGAAGTATTTTGTTAGGTAACCAAAACTGTGTTCAATGTGGTGAGATTCAAATTAAATGTTTTTATACAAAATGTAGAGAGAGAGAGAGAGAGAGAGAGAGAGAGAGAGCTTTAATGCTGTTCACTATTATGACTGAATCAACAGCCAAATGAAACACCAATGAAAGTCATTTTTCGGGTCAGATCAGGTAGAACAACTGCAAATTTTTAACACTGTTATGCCTCTTATAAATACAGTTTATTGCCTTGTTGATTTGGCTCCTGGAAGTCTTAAACTTTGGGTCTGGTATTATATTTGGTAAGTCCCAAAGGAAGTTTAGGCCTTTTATAACCTGATCAAACAGTAAGGCCTTACCTCTGCAAACATCCTTTATTTTCCCAGGCTCCTTATAGCAAACAGAGAATGGCCTTAGCTCGAAACGCTGCTTGTATATGACTTTAATCCTGCTTCTATTCCGTCATAGAAATGTGATCTATAGCTGCTGGCCATTTAAAAGACGTCATCTAGTGGACCAGCAAGTTAAGTGTAAAGTATCATGTGAGGGAGCAGAAACGAAACTCTAGCAGAGAATACAAAAGAGAAGCCTTTTAGAATGCTCTCATTGTGATGATCTCTGTATACTCTATGAGGAAAAGGTTAAGAAACTGAATAGATGTGACAAATGCTAGTCCATCAGGCTGTCACAACACATTCAGATATACACGATTGATTGATTATCTATCATTTGTGGTATTTCCGTGCTGTACTCAATCACACATTTATACACCCTCGTATTTTCAGTGCTAAAACATCTGTCGTATAGTTTGTGCTGCTTTAACAAAGCTTTTTAAATGCTCACAAATGCTACTATAAATATCTTCGAAGGTAAAGTAAACCTACAAAGATCAAGTATTGTTTACTAAGATCGTTGCTAAGAAATGTGTCTGTGTGTGTTCGGATAAAGAGTCTGTGGTTGTGTTTGATGTTTGCCTCATAAATCAATCTGAGAGATGATGCTGGATCACACACATTTGCCAAGGCATCTTTGTCTTTTTTTTTTTTTGGTAACACTTTATTTCGATAGTCCACTTTAGACATTCTATTAACAGCAAGTAACTTTGAACTTTGATGTCAACTAGCAGTTAGTAGAGTATTAGTAGACTGTCTGTCTAAAGTGGACTATCGAAATAAAGTGTAACCTTTTTTTTTTATTAAACAAAGCATACGGAAGTTATGTTTACGGAAGTAAAACATACTTTCCATAACCTTAGCAAATACTGTACAAGGTGAATATTACTGCATTTGATAAAAATATTAGGCATGAAATTGTAAAACAAAACTAGTATTGTGATGCTTTGTGGATGCTAAACATTACTGGATAATGTCTGTATTTAATGTGATGAACTTTTCTTGCGGTTTGAAGTTAGTTCTGATTGAACGTCTAGCATCAAGATATCATACAATCATAAAATACAATCTGTATATAAAGGTGCTGTATATACTAAAGCATAAAAATAACATAATACATTTGCCGATATTTGGGAAACATGCTAAGTTTACATACTTATTTCTCTGAAAAGCAATGCTGTGAAATGTGTGTTCCGTGTTGGAATGTCTGTTTTTGTTTTGATCTGTGTGACTCCATCCACTGCCGGTTTACCCAATAGTATAGTGTTTCTCAACGGGAACATTCGCAGAGCATCAGGGGAAGCAATATGGTCTGCCACATCCTAACGCCATCTCTAACCTGGATGCATCAAAGCACACTTTCTATATCTATTTGTCAACTTGTCGGTAGCGCAAGCGTGTGGAGTGCATCAGTAATAGAACGTGCCATCCGTTTACTGTAGCGCTTGCGCTCAGTTACTGAACAACTGATTTAATTAGATCTATGTGCTTTGACGCAACATGTCGCACCATTTGTGGCCATTGTAGTAGTGTTACTACCACTTGCAGACTAGATGGTGTATCATTTCCAGCAACGACTCTTTACTTCAGTGCTCGCTCTGCTTTCTGTAACTCAGTTGCCAAACTTCCTGTGAAAACAACAGCAAGCATTTAGACACGAAAAAGTATGAGATGCTTTTTCTTGTTTTGAAAAATAAATAAGAATGCATTTTGTTTGCTGACTGGCTGCGGATGGTTTGAATGCTAAATTTCTAAAAAGTTTATTCAACGCTCATAAATATATCCTAATTTATATTACATGGCTTTTTTGCTCATCTGGAAACTAATGATAATGATAGCTCAAATCCAGTCAAAACAAATATGTGATGAATGTGGCATTCCATGTCTTTTTTGGCATTCAATTCAATATTTTTAAAATGACTGTATATGAGCTAATGTGGGCTGTTATATATTAAATACATGCTTTTAAACTGTATTATAGCCTATAACTTACACCACCATTTAAAAAATGTCAGATTTGTTAAAGGTTTAGAAACAAATCTCTTCTGCTCAGTAAGATTGCATTCATTAAAAAAAAAAAAAAACTAAAAGCAGTAAATCTACAATTTGAAAGAACTGCTTTCTATTTGAATATATTTTAAAATGTGTTTTCCTCTCATGATAAAGCTCCATTACTCAAGCTTTCAGTGTCACATGAATGATCCTTCAGAAATCATGCTGATTGTTGCTCAAGTAGCATTTCTTCTTATTATTATAGCTGGAACACCACGCTGACAAATCAAAGCAAGATTTGAAATTTAACTGACTATAACAAAGATATAAAGCACTAAAATAGAAGCTATTTTGAAAATGAGGAGCATATGTTTCCCATCTTTGCAATTCCAGAAATGTTGGGACATTTTGTGAAATGCCATAAAAGCAAGAATATGTTATTTGCTCATTCTCTGTAACCTTTTTTAATTGCGTTTGCATCTGTCGCTGATTAAAGTCTGGATGATCACTTTGGTCTTTGGAACTGAGAACATGACATCCATTTTTCCCAGAAGCAAGTTGAAATGTGGACTCATCTGAGTACAGCACACATTTCCACTGTCTTTTTGACTATCTGGATGAGCTCTGGTCCAGAGAACCCTGCGGCATCACTGCATAGAAATGATGTATAGCTTTCTCCTTGTGTTACAGAGATGCAGGTTGCATTTCTTGATACAGCATCAGACTGTGTTAAGTGACAGTGGTTTTCTGAAGTACTCCTGAGCCCATGTGGCTATATTAATCACACGCAGCATGACGGTTTCTTATGCAATGCCATCTGAGGGCTCAAAGGTCAAGTACATTCACCTGAGCTTTCCTGCCTTGCACTACACCTACATGTACTGAGATTTCTCTGGATTCTCTGAATCTTTTCACAATATTATGTATGGTAGTTAGTGAAAGACCTAAATATTCCATAACCTTTTCACTTTTATTTTGCCTCTGTCACAACTTTTTTAGAGTGTGTTGCAGCCATCGATATCAAAACTTGTTTATATTAACAAAATGCATATAAGTTGGTCAGTGAAAACACTGGAAATATTTTCTTTGTACTTTGTCAATTAAATAAAAGTTAAAGAGAATTAACAAATCACAGATTCTTGCTTTCTTGCAGATTCTTTTTTATTGCATTTTACAAAACGTCCCAACTTTTCTGCACTTGGGTTTATACTTGGTTTTCTTTGAAGTATTTGTAAGCAAATTTTCTCACAAAATGTATTAAATATTGTAAAAGAGTGTTCATATGTCAGAAAGAAAGGAAATTCAATATATTCTCAAAAAACAGGGTCTTTTCTAAAACTAAGGGATAAATACAGAGTTCTGGCATGAAACTCTAGATGGCGCAGTACGATAGGTCCAACTCAATCTGACCTGGCGACATCATTGTCACATGGCAGCTGATTGGTTCTCTCCTGTATCGGTAGCCAATGAGCTTACTGCTCAATATTCAAATACCTGGCTTTTTTTTTTTGCTGTAGCAGTTTGCAGCGCACTTCAGAGCA